TGCCTGTTCCATTTTTGCTGAGGTCCTGTGGCAGCCAGTGATTATTCCTAAGCTCTGTGTAAGAGAAAATGTGGGTGTCGACAAGCCAGTATCTGCCTCTTTAGCCTAAACACAATTCCCTACTAACCTTAATCTTTCTGAGGGGTGATGCTTTGCAGTGTTTTTACCAAAGAAGTTTGAGTGAGCTGTCATTTAAGCAGTCAAATGTATGTTTTCCTGTAGCACCGTTGTGATCTGCGCCCGGCCAGCCCAGCAGCCAGCCTGCCATCTCAGCAGCTGCTGTCTCCCCACGCCAACAGAGAGAGAAGAGAATCACCAGAGCTGGCTCGGAGACGAATCAGGCATCAAGGTGTGGGCAAAACACAGGCTTACTCACGCTCTTTTCCTTTGCATTCGCAGGAACGCTGTGCGTGTTCCAAGCTGAATAGATGTTGCTACCCTGTTCTGTCTCTCCAAAATTTAAAAATCTTGGATCCCCTACCATTGGTCTAATTTTACACAAGAAAGATTAAATCACTGAAACTCGGTATCCTCAAAGATCTTGGTTATGAAGCCCTATGCTGCTGGAATGGAAATTAGGTCTAGTTTTGTTATCTGAATAGTCTCTAACGTCTCATGCTGCATTTACTATTCCTATTAAGCGCTGTGTTCTTGTCCTCTCAGGAGATGTTTCTCCTCAGTGCATAGGCGGCTTTGGGCAGCAGAGGCTCAGCTATCCTGCACGAGGGACCAAGTCACCGAGTAATACGGCAAACGCCAGGAGCGCGCTGTTGTCCTCGTCAGCGAGAGCTAGCGATGCTCCCGACTCGAGAGGGAAGCCCAGGAAGGTGGCTGGCAGTGAGGGAAGACCGAAGAACAGAGGCGTGAGTGAATCTGCAGGGGGGACAAGGCCACGTGCGAGACCTACTCAGAACTTTCATTCAGAAGCCTTCACAGCCAGCTTCTCGAGAACTTCTCCAACCCAACCAAGGTAACGCCTTCCTCTTCCGTTTCAAGCAGCCACGCTGGGCCTGCCGTAAAGCGTAAGGGATCGGTGGCACCGTGTGAGCAAGTTTTGCTCTGCTGAAAGTGGGGGCGCAGCCTTAGGCCTGGCGCATTCTGATCTTCAGGCGGCAGCAACCCAACAGCAGCAGTAGCGACAAATCCATTCCGGTCCTCTGCCTCATTTCCTTGTGGTGCAAGTCTGGATTCCCTCGTATGTGCCAGTGGCTGAAAGGGTTTCACTCGGCTTAATTTGGCTGGTGCTTATCTGAGTTTCAAACAGCAAACTTAAGCTTTTATATCAAAATAGAATGGACAAAATGGTCACTGGGAGACAACATAGGATAATGCCTTGTTACCTGCCCATTCTAGCGCGCTCATCTTAGCTTTTCTCTTGCTCCTTCAAAACTCAAACGTGCATAAACCTAAAATGAGATCCACAAATTTTAGCGTGATGCCTTTATGGCTCATCACCTACTTTCTTTGCTGCTTAATTCAGCTTGCATCACTGCTAGCCTGAAACCTGCTGGGTTCCCCCCCCCCCTGCAGTGCAGTGTGCACTATTGAAGTGCCTAAAGGCAGTTGACTGGGATATGGTTCTTCTGCTGCAAGAATAACTGGGTCAGGGTTCAGGGGAAGAACAAAGGGCTTCTTCCTAGACCTTCCAAAGTCTCCCTGGTGTGAAGGACCTGTGGCTGTTCAGCGGTAAGAGCACTGGAAGTGGTGGGCTTGCTTCATCTGAAAGCGTCCCTGTTGTTCTTCTACAGCACCAGCAATGGAGGAGGAAGGAGCCTCGGGATGCCGGATGGTCCAGTCAGCTTCAGGCGCAGGAACACAAAGGTAAGGCAGCCAGCGCAAAGTAGGAGAGTGCTTCGCTCTGTGGTCGGGTGTGGACTAGACACCTCCGTTTCGGAGAGGACAGTGCCTGGCTGTTACCCCTTGAGTTTTTTTGTGATGGCTTTGCCAGGATGATGATCTTATTTTACAGTCCTTCCTGCTTCAGTGAGGTTTTTAGCGATTGCTTGTTATCAAGTACTCTTTGAAAACAGCATTTTTACTTCCCCCCCCCCCTTCCCTTTAGGCAAAAGCCCAGAGCCCAGCATCTGGTCGGCCAGAGGAGGAGTAATCCACCACTGAGGAAAACACATTTAGCGCTCTACACACCATCACTACGCGCTCTAGTACTTGGTCATCTGAGCGCAAGGAAATTCCTGTATTGCCATGTCATTGAAGACTTTCTATGAATTTACATTTTTAGAGGCAGTGATCACTTTATATATATATATTTTCTTTTTAATTTGTGAGAGCATATGACGGGTTCTTACGTCTGTGATCTATACTAGCAACATCCCAAGACAGCAAATACACTTCTGCCTTGGGAACCACCTGGGTTATGTTTCCGTACTGGCTCTGACACCCCGTGAAAGAGACGTTTTGACATACTGATCTTCAAGCACGTGCCCTGCTGCTCTTGTGCGAGTTAGTTAATTCTGAAGACAGCTACAGCAGATGAAAAACAAAAGCAAGCTGCCAGCCAGGACGATGCCGGGGAAGAGGTGGGCCCAGGAGCTTACCCGAGTCCTTTGGAGGACAGGCTCCGTGGCTGGCACGCTGGAGAACACCCGGCGCTGCAAGGGCGGTTGGTCTGGGCAGTTCTGAACTGAACTCCGTTGCATCGAGTGGTTTGTTTGGCTCAACACCTCTGCTGAAGGGAGGGGTAACGGGGCGTTGCTGGAGACCTTGCAGCTGAGCCTGTTCCTACAGCTTAACAGCGCGTCTCACCAGCTCTGTGGCTCAGCCAGGCGAAGCCGTGTGTGTGCCTCGGGACGGAGGGGTCTGCGCCTCCAGCTGCACGTCCTCGGCTGTGACCAGACGTGCCCAGGACACGGAGAGTGGCAGTGGAGAAGCTCCGAGCCCGCGGCTGTGTCGTAAAACGCTTTTTAATGCTGTATTAATCCATGCTTTTTAAATTCCTTGTAATAAAATTTATCTAATGATGTCCCAAACCGTTGTGCAGTAAAAACCTGTTACATGAAGCCACGTGGGATCACAAACGCTGCTTGAGGGCAGGTTTATCGCCCCAGACCTAGTGACGGGCAGTTCAGAATGACGGGCAGCGGGCTTCGTCAGTTTGTGTTCCGCTGTCACCGCCTGCATTAGGTCTTTGTTAATTTGCTTTACGAGAGCCGTTTCAGCCCTTGCGCTTTGGCGCAGCGTTAGGGGATTGGTAATGCAGAAGCTGGAGCAGGCAGGTCTCAGATAATGACCGTGGGCATCAGCCTAATTAACCGGGTACAGCAGATGGCATGAGCAGGGCTAATTAGCCAGTCACCCTTCTAGGGCAAGGCTCTTGCTGGAGGCCTTGCCTCTGCTGCCAGCACTGTCCCGCAAGCCGCAGCACAGAAGACTAGTGATCGCTGAAGTGATCCTGGTTCTAAAATAAAGACATTTTACGGACGCTTCCACCAAATGTAAGCGTTTATTTATACAAGAAAAGCAGAATAAAGGTATTTAAAAAAACCAACCTTGCGATGGCATTTCTGGGGAAAACTGCTTTGGCAAGGCAAGGGCATCTAAGCTGGCTCTTCTGGTTTGTGACGGTTAACGGGATGCCTTGTTCAGAAACTGTTAGTATGAAGACTAACTACCTACTGAGCTGACAACGTGGCTTAGTCTGCGTTATTCCTCAGGCATGAGAAGTACTGCGCTTCCTCCATTAAGAGAAATGTTAGCAGTCATTGTGCTTGCTTTCCTTTTTGTACAAAATATTTACATTTCTGTTCCAAGTAAATACAAATTACAGTGTGTTAACCCACAAAAGTGGGATTTAAAATCAGGTAACCCGCCACTTCGTTTCTAGCCGTTCTAATCCTCTGCATCAGTGGAGGGATTTTTTTTTTTCTCCATTATTTCCAGCCCCAAATAAGGACACGATACATCTCGAGGGATGTTAAGAATCTCCTTTATGCAAGTGTACACTGTATGGCCAAGAGCACTTGACAGGGTGATGCTGCGTACGGTACCGAGATGGACACACGCCAAGCCAGAACTAATACCCAGCTCCAGAGCTTTTCCATTGTTTAGTATAATTTTAGACTCTGAATGAATATATATTAAAAAAAAATAAATCACAAACCAATCCCTGCTTTGACAAACAAACCTATTACAGACAATGTCAAGTTCATTTAAAGCACAAGGAAGTAATGATGATTAGAAAAGCTTTAATTAAAAGGCCGTTTGAGCTACAGTCGAACCACTGCAGCACTTCCTTCCTAGTAACGTAAAAAAAAAAAGCCAACCCCCCAACTCCTCCTCCTGCCGGGCTCATGCCATTCTTCAGAAAAAAACCGAAGTCAATGCAGGTTATTTATTGGTGAGACATTTTTTTCCCGTATAAGAAGCTTCATTTACACAGCGAGGTGTAAACAGCATTGACTAAAAGTCTGTTATTCGTAATCATAAATAATTAATTGTAATAAATATGTTATCAAGTAACTTTACAGCACGCTTTTCAGGGCCAGGATGCAGATACGTTCCACGCGGCTGTGCTCTCTGGAAGGAGAAGACAGACATCAGCAGCTTCGTACTCGCAGCTGTAATCAGCCTTGGCAAACGCTGGCATACGAGTCCTCGAACCCCTGCGGGTGAGGTATCTGACTGCGCTGCAAGTCCACCCAAAGCGTTACGGGCCTGAAACGGGAGATCTAAACCCGATACAAAGCCACGATCCGGTCGGCAGAAAGAAACCCCAGACGCGTCACTGTCAGCGACAATACCTCTGCCGTGAAAGTCAACTGATTCTTCACGTTTCCTCGCGGCACCTGTTTGGGAACGCACGTCCCAGACGGGAATGAACCGGCTCCAGGCCGCTCCTCCTGCTTAGTTTTCCCCTCGGTCTTTGCAAACTCCACGTGCGTTTGCGCTTACTCCGAATGATTTCTCAGCTACACATACGCTTCTACCAGGAAATGGACGAGATTCAAGAGTAAATATTCTTCCTACATGTACGTGTTCCTTTGAAAGGGCAATATGCAATAGACAGGTAACACAGCTTTCCTAACCACAGGATTTGGAGACTCTGTATGCCAACAACTAGCTCTACAACTGTTGCACACACATTTTTCCATTCGCTCACAGGAGAACAAGAATATACACACTTGTTTAGGCTCTTCTCTCTTATTCGCATCTTCCAAGTACCACACGCTCGTAATTCCCAATATTCACAATAATATACAATAAATACAGCTTTTTCAATTCCCATTACCACTGGCAAGCCAAATGCATGTATGCCGTCTTCTAAAGAGACATATAATACCAACCTTAAAGTACAGTTACACACACGCCGTCGTAGACCTTTCGTGTGGTTGATGCGCTTAAGCGCATCGGAAGGAAAATAACGAACTGGCAGCTCAGTACTGGCACTTAACTTACAAATAGTACCGAGCCGAGGAGCACAGCAGTGATTGCAGCACGTTCTCTTCGGTTCTTCAGCACGCAGGTAGTTCTCACTTGTGCCGGGTTCTCGGCGATTAACACAGCAACGCCGTGCTTTTAAATGCGCCCGGTGCAGGGCAACCGCTTTTATACGAGTAGAGGAAGGTACAGGTGTTGATGTGCTGTTTCGAACCACCCCGGAACATATTTCACGACATACAAAAGTTAAACTTAGAGAATCGTTCCCTCTCCGTAGTCTGCTATTATCTTCCCATATAAAATAGAAGCTTCATCTTCAACCAAGTGACTCCGTGTCTTCCCCCCCCACCTCATCCTCCTTTCCAGTGTCACCTTCCTAGGATAATTTGCTCTTAGATCAAAGATCATTTCTGAGTACAAAAATGAGTTCCAGGTGTTTAACCGCACACCGATTATTCTGAAAGCCTGTTCGGAAATAGGATAAAGTCACAGATTATAAGCTTGAACTGTGGTATCTTACACCGTACGGAGAGAAGCCATTTTGTTTCTGCTAATATTTTAATTACAATAAATTATTTTGTTACTAAGCAAAGCAGACATTCAAGAACATCTAGGGCAAGAACCCAACTGAATTACGGCCCTTTCACTGTTCTTTCAATTATAAACCTTCCTAACCAAAATGTCTAGCTGAAACCCCAAATTAACTGCCGCACCTACCCGTGTGCTTGCTTGCAGTTTAAAAAGTTGCAAGAAAATGGTGGAAACGTGAACATGCAGTTTGGCAGCCTATTTTCTGCTCTGAAACTCAAGCAAGTTCTAGAAATTCTGCACGATGGCTGCCTGCGACAGAAGCAGAGCACTGCCGTGCTCCGTTCCTGCAGGTGTCCTGCAGCGATTCCCTCCCCGCACCCGCTTCGTTCCATTTTTGTACTCAGAAACGTTTCAGGGGCGAGCGATCTACGAGCCTCCACCTCCGAGCGCTCCCGAACTCAGAACGCCCTCACTTTTGTTGTGTTCGCATGGGTAATATCATTCTAAATTACAAAATTAGAAATGTACATGTTTAAAGGTTCTTCAAAATTAAATTATACACAAACTGGTCTTTACTAAACTATCCTACAAATATTCCACAAACAAGGCAGCAAAATAACCAGTCCACCACAAAGTCTACAAATACAAAATGTAAGTCTTCCAGTAATTATTGTAACGGGAACAGAAGTTCAGAAAATAAATTAACCTCCAGCCCCTCACACAGTGTTACAGGAGGTATTTTTATGTGAATCGAAGGGTTTCCAACGTTAGCAGAGGCATGAAACAATCCAGACGGTCACCTCTAGGCATCCCCTTCTCCCACTCAGCCGCTGAGTGGATCCTCCCGGTAGTGGATGGCGTACCGGAGCTTTTCCAGCATTATGTCCAGCGAGGAGTACTGAGGGAGTTTGATCATGAACATGCACGTTTCAACACGGATGTACCGGGAGTCTGGAGAACCTGCAGGGGAAGAAGCACCAGAAGGGGTTTGCACGCGCCCTCCGCCTTCCACCTTCCACCTTATTCTCCAAAAGCATCCTTCCCCCACGCCCCTTACTAAGAAGTATGAAAATAATAAAATTCCCGCCCGTAACGTGTCTCTTGAACCTTAAATACTGCTGCGCTTCTCACTCAGCCCTCAGGCCGATATTTTTGTGATGGTCCAATCATCCTAGTAGCATACGAGACAAATACGATACAAAGTCTCTTATTGTCTCTAGAAGGCAACGTTTTAGGTACTTAAAGTTTATTTTAAATTTTATCTTTTACATGGTTTAAAACCAAGTTCGCTCTCTTCTTATTTACAGTCATAACTACCTGCCTCTCTTTGTCATTCTTTGTGCATTAAACACACTGTTAAATCGAAAAGAAAGGGGGGCTGAAAGCTAGAGCCACGATGCGAGCAGAGCCCATTTTCTTTGCCGTGGGAGATGGCGGGCAGACGTACCCGCAGCTCCGTCGGGGGGGGCTATTTTCATGGGGTACGGCGGGACGTGGGCAGTATCAGGGCCTCCATCTTTGCAAGGACAGGTGAAGGGGATGCGTTCCTGGTTACAGGCGAACTTTATGAACTTGCAGAGCTCCTCCTGGGTGAACATCTCCAACGCGCTCCAGAAAAACTCGATGTGCTGGTCAGTTTCCATCAAGCCCACCTGGTACATGGTGTGTGCCTAAGAAAAAAGAAAGCAAGACGTCCACTGCTGCTTTCTTCTCCCTTCCTAAGTCTTCCCCGCTTACACTTTAAGAGGACAGAAGGGGAGGGTAACTACACTTCTCTCCCCAGGTTCTCCCGCCTTTGCAAAATCATTAGGAAACCCAGCCATGGTAGAGCGTTAATATAACGTGGGCTTGTATCTTTTTAGCCCGTCAGCTTCTGTAACAGGCTTGTCTTAGTGTGTTTCCCCTGCGGGGCA